AAAAATTCAGCAGCCCTAAAACATCTGGGATTTGTAATATGCCAGACCAGAAGGTGTACGCATGGGTACACCATGAAACAGGCACAGTATTGCGGCTGCCCAAAAGAAGAACCACAGCAAGTGCACTCTACAGCTCAAAATCGCCAGACTTGCAGAAGCTGAATTCATCCTAAGAGGCAGTAGAAATGCTGATAAACTCAGCCAACATGCGAAGCACATGCCGACATGTAGGACCAGAAAGGCAGACTGAAAAAGAAAAAGGAGGGGCACACTGCCCTCAGCAGTCGCTGTGCACCCAGAGAGCAGGTACAAACACACTTGGGCATCAGTCAATGCCAGCCACAGGACAGCAGCCACCTTCACTGTTTAAACGCCAGGGAACTCAGTACAGGCACTGCTCACTCAATTGTGACTGGTTACTGTTAGCTGCAAGAGAGTTGTTGAAAAGTCACCAGGAATGGTGAAGTCACCCACAGACAACAGGAAACCAACACTACCACAGGATGAGGACCGAGAGAAGGGGCTGTTTCTATGGGTAGTGTTACCAGGCAGAGTCACAAGCACCGTGGGCTAGTCCCTGCTGGCAGGACCTGAGGTCGTGGAGAAGAAAAGCTGCCACTAGAGAGGCTTTCAGCTTCCCACAGGCTCAAGGTAGCCTGGAAAGGGGCACCCTGTCGGGGTCAGCCCCCACAGTACAGGACAGAGCAAATGGATCTGAGGCAAAGAATACAGGATTGTCTACTTTTCCCAGTGTGGCAGCTCTGTCAGCACTCCAGCATGAAGGTACAAATCCATCTCATGGGCACTGAGTAAAGTAAAGATTCTAATGCAGGAACATGGGGTAGAGTGTAGATTCAGAGATCATTTCCTTCCTGCCTCACAAACGCCACTCACTGATGCTGCCCATCATGAACCACACTATCAACAGGCCAGGTTCTAAATGATCTGGGTTAGGGATGGGCTGTGATTCAGAGAACCCAGCCACATTCCTCCCAAGAACAAACCACAGTGTCATGCATGAGGCCTTCAAAGAGAGGAAAAGTGCAGGGGGAAGAACAGGAGACGAAGTCCACACAGCAGGAGGTTATGTTTCTCACCAAGTCCTCACATTTGAATAGATCAAGGTTATAATGGGGTATGCTGTGTGGCCCCAGTGTTGACATCTGAGGCTCTAAGATCCTCAGAATACGACTGTATCTACAGACAGGACTTTAAGTTGAAATTAATTAGCTAAGGTTACTGAGTTAAAGTAAAGTCAGTGTGACTGTGGTCCTCATGAGAAAAGCTGACAGGGACACACAGAGGATGGCCAAGGACACAAGCACCAAAGGGAAGGTCATGTGAGGTTACAGCAGGGGTAGCTGTCTGTGTGCCAAGAAGAAATGGCCAACCCTGGAAGATCTTCATCTTGGAGTCCTAGACTCTAGGACTGTAATGGAAAAAAAAAATCAATCTGATGTTTAAACCATCCTGACTGTGGTGTTTATTTATGGCGCTCTTCACTGATTAATACAATGGGCTTCATTTTTGTTTATTACTAACTGAATCCCATAACCTTTTACTGAATGATCCTCTGTGAGAAGCAGAGCAATGGGAGCTGGCTTACAGAATGACAGATACTGTCCTGGCCAGCTCTAGCTCTTGACTGTCCATGTGAAAGACAGAGAGAGAAGCAGGGACAGCAACACCACCTGAGTCAGACAATGGAGAATACTGTACCAGATTAAAACCAAATGCCATAAAGCACAGAGGAAAACGAAATCCATCCTAACTAAACGGTGGGGGCAGAGGGCTCCAAATGGATTCTGACAGGGGACTAAAAAAGGGTAGCATTCCTAATGATGGAGCAACTCCAGCCAAGGCTAACAGACACCATGAAACCCAACTCCCTGTTGCACTTGGGACCAGCATGCCATCCAGCAGCGTGAGTAGAAGCGCCGGTGGTGGGGGGGCAGACCCGCAATAGGACAGTTGAAACTGAACAGAAGACCCAAGCCTCTCGGGCTGAAACAAGGGAATTTGCAGTTTAGAAAACAAAGAATAAGAAAAATGAGAAGGCAGCCTAAGGAGCAAGAAAGGGGATATAGAGCACAGTCACAGAACTGCCTCATAGCACCTGTCTAAGATGTGCCTTAGATGGAATGTGAACATGCCATCATCTCTTACCCTTAGACACAGGGAATCAGCTGGCATCAACCACAATTTCAAAGCTGGAAACAGGAGCATAAGGAAGTAAGAGTCACAACCCAGTAAGAGAAAGGGAATTAAAGTCTGAGATACAATTCCTGAGTTAAGAGACCAAAGCTTCAGACAGCAGCCACTGGGGCCACGATGCTATCAGCTCTGCTTAAACAAACAGAAAAGTCAGCAGCTTTGATTAGAGCATACAGTATCCCAGGGACTGGCATTGTCCTTCTAATGCCAGGCAACCAGACCTTGGATTTCACTATCCCCAAGCAAGGGAAGTTATAGGCTGGATACAGAAAGGGGACTAGGCTGTTCCTTGCTCCTGAGCATTCAAGAGTTCAGAATGTGCTGAGATGCAGAGAAGTTCAACTTTCAAGGGACCTTCACCCAGCACTGACTTTAATGCTAATGTCTATCTGAGAGAACAGACCCTTATTTTCCTGGATCTGCTCCCCATGACATCTATTGATAAATTAACCATCTGGAACAGGAAGGGAAGCATGCAGCACTGTATGCAGGGTTGGCTTCGGGCACAACTGATCAGCTTACAGAACACACTGGAGAAACGCAGGAGAGGATTACAGAAACCACACAGGTACATGTACATACCTGAGGAACAGCAGCCAATTCCGACACAAGATTTTCACAGTAAACATTTGAGTAGTACTCTCTACCACAGCCCACAGGCGGTGTCTTCCAAAAGGAGACAGAGAGAGCCCTTAAAGCACCCAGTGAGGCCAGAGGGTGAGCACAGCCTAAAGTACAAACAAGCAGGGGAGGACAGGAAACCGCCCTGCCTTTCCCACTACCTCTAAAACACAAATTCTACTTTCTGAAAAGTCGTGAAAAATAAAGGTAATTAGATGAATGTAAATGGGATGAGAATCAGAGGAGGATATGACTTCAAAGTCCAGAATCGCTCGGGGGCAGGGAGATCTTTTATAAAATATTTCAGAAGCTTCACTGTTGTGATTCTACAGAAGGGTAGAAAAATTCACGATAAAATTAGTTACAGTCTAGGGATGTCACTCTGAGGCAACCTTGCTCATGCAAGGCCCTAGTGCATTCCCCAGTGCTAATGCACATCACACACACACACACACACACACACACACACACACACACACACACCCCGAACGTATATGGGGGTAGATATCACAACAGCAATAGCAGGAGATGATGCTTAAGTCTTACAATATACTGCTGTTGTGCCTCTGGTCCTACCAGTACCACCTACGCTAATAACTTTCCAAGTGTTTACTAGACATGATTGCTCTTGTTCTTTAAATGCGGCACACTATTTCTGCGTCTTTGCAAACTTCCTGAGGAAAGTTACCCTGTGTCATAGAAAGTCAAAAGGCCTGGCCTTTAGGGGCTGCTACAGTACCACTCAGGGGTCTTAAACTTCAGGAACAAATACATGCACCCCAGCAGTGCTTATTCTAGCATGACTATTTTGAGATATGAATGAGAGCGCCTCTCAGCTTCATGCACCATTGTCTCTTGTCAAAGGCAGGCTGCGGTGTGCTCAGTGGTAGGGCATTTCCCTAGCATGTCTAATGCCCTGGGTTGAAACCAGAGCACCAAAATAAATAGGTGAATAAATAAATTCTGAACAAAGGAAACACTGAGAAGCACGGAACCTCAAAATAGCATGCCTTTCTTCTTGGGAGAGAAGGAAATCTGAAAGCTGAAGCCTCACCTAACACTGTCATTTGGGCTCCTGATAAGAAAGTCCCCGGGACATCAACCGATTTCCACCTACATCAAAGCTGAGCACCACCTCTAGCTCAAGCAAGGCATCTTCATAACCCCGGAGGGGGGCAGGAAACCTCGCTGACACAAACAGAAGTGGGCACAGTATATTGCTGACCCTGGCTCTATGGCACTGTTGTCAGATGAAGACTCAGGGACTAACTCAGACCTCTGAGTCTGCTCCACAAAATCATTAACCAAGCATGCCATTTCACATGCAGGAGAAATGGATTTCACATGCAGCTTCATGCACTGCTGACACATTTAGCTAAGCCCTGTTGAGCTTGGTCAGTCAATATCACATGGAGCTTCCTTTTTATCCCCAGGGCACTTCACTAAACCTCAGAAGCAACAGGATGCCATCAAAGCAAAAAGTTCGAACTCAACTCCACACCCACTGCAGTGTGGGTCTCTTCTTTTAGGAGATAATGCTTTGGTAGCTAATTAATGGGGTTTATAAATCTCATCCTACCAATCAAGTAATTCAAAATAACAACAAGGAAACTTCTAGTTTGCAGCACAGAGCATGAAAAATGGAGACCAAAATTACAGGTGTCCCTCCCTAGTGTGTGTTGGCATAAATACATACAACCATCATCTAGCCACAGAGACACAGAGAAAATGGATGGCAAATCAGTAGTTTAGAAATTCCTGTAATCTAATCATGCTATGCAAGTGTGTTCTATAATGTTGCCATGAAAACCAATTTTGTTCTTAATGTGTTGCTTTTATGTTGACCTTAACAAAATTAAAAACACAGAGTCTATGTCCTTGAATAATAGGATTTTAAATGTACTGAGCTCCAAATGGAGAAACTCCAACAAGTAAAAGCATATATGTGGAATATCACTGTAACCTGTGCATGTTACAGTTCTCGGTTGGGATGTGAGCTGTCACTCATGACCTGAGTCACTACCCTCAGTCTCATAGGCCACGGTTTCAAATTGGCTTCATTAATCTTACCTTAAACACAGCATATAACAGCCATATTTTAGATGAGAGAGAAGTTACCTACTTAAGCCAGTACAGTAAGATTAGACACTTTTCACAGCCCTTACTTTCAAAATATTTTGGGTTTCATTCCATTTGTTTGTCCATTCCTTGGTCAACTCTTGAACCTAGAAATAAAAACATAAATATATAATGATTTTATTTAAAAACATAAATACATATTTTATTAAATATATACTGCTTTTATTATATATTAAATATATAATGATTTTATTAAACATAATTTTTATCTAGAATAGTTTCTAAATGTATAGACCCTAGGGAAAAATGAACTGTGTGTATGTCTACATATTATATATATAAATTTAGCTAGCTCTTAAAAGAACCACCACCAAATATAAACCAAACAGCTGGTCTCATCAACAGCCTACATTGCAAGAAAGGAAAGTGACAGAAACATGTCAAATTATAGCTCTATGACCTCTTTTCCATGATGGACTTAGTTGGATTATTAAACACTTGTAACTCCAAGGATGGCAACAGCACATTAAGTGTGTTTGCTTTTCCTGGCCACACTCTCAGAAATAGCCATTTATTTTCCTTTCTAATTGGATGTGGTGATTAAATCATCCTGGATGCTGCAGTTTTCTTTTAGGAGATAACGCTTTGGTAGCTAATTAATGGGGTTTATAAATCTCATTCTACCTTTGGGTAAAGGGGGGAAAGGTGCTTCTTTATTCGATCTTTCAGACACAGCAAAATTCTATTGATAAAAGTCAGTTTCGGACCATAACTTGAGGAGGAAAGGGCAGGGGCTGACAGCTGAGTGCACAGTTGGTGAACACTTCCCAAAGCTAATCAAGTTTTCATCTACTTCCAGAAATGTTTTAAGATGATCCTCATGATTAATTAACCAAGAAGCAAAGAAGTAATAGCTGAATCAAGAGGCCAGGGGAAAATGGAATGAAAAATACACTCTGTGGAAAAAAGACAGGTAGAACTCAAAGACTGGTCCAGGAAGGGGACAGCTGGCATCACAGGGGTCACAGACCTGTCACCTGACTGCCTCCCAATTCCCATAGCAGAAACAATCTCCTCTAAGCCTCCTGTTCTCCTTACCAGAGACTCCATCGTATAAGGCTCCTGTTGTCCCCCTCCTAAGGAAAAGGCACATGCATGTGCCCTGAAGCACGGAAGTCATGACTAAACAAAGGGCTGCTCATGAAGGAGTGGGGATCTGTGGGCACCCCAGGGGGAAACAAACCTATCTGACTTACACTCAGTGGTCATTCACATACTGAAGTTACCCTAGATAACCATGGGCTTCCAAGTAAATGTTTCTTCTTTCACTAGCTATTTCTGTTCAAGTCTGTCTTCTTTGTGAACCAAGCAAACAGGAGTGAAGAGACACCCCCATCACTTCCTGCCTGCCTCCACACTTTGATAGGCTGTGGTGACAATAAGAAACCACTCATACCCAAGGACCCTTCAAAGGAGACAACAGGCACTGGAGTGTCAGAAGGGGATATTCTTGTATCTTTTCTCCCTACATTAGGGGGAAGGAGTAGCATACTGAATTTTCTAGTCTACTAACCAATGAGTGGACTTTCATTGGTAACTGATCTAAGAATAGGAAACATTCAGCAAAAGACTATGCCTTACACCACCATACACATCCGTATGGAGAAGAGTGAGCCAATCAGAAGCACAGAGACCCACAACTGGACAGTGTGCAGGGAGGGAGAGATTTTGAAACAATCATAAATGGGACGTCTTCATCAAAGCCTTCCACTCTGGGGTAAGGAACAATTAGAAAAGGAGGAGTTAAGATTTTAAGGGTCAGGGGCAAAGGGGGACACCAAGGAAACAGTGTCTTCCAGATAGCACAGGGCTGGTGCACATAAAATCTCACACAGATTGCAGCAGCAGAAACAGGGCTTGCATGGGTCCCAGGGCTGAGAGAAAGAAGAAGGTGTGTGATCCTGTCCCTAGCCAAGAGGCTGTCTGCAATTGACACCTATTTGCAAAAGAAAATTTAGTGTTCTCTGATGGAGTCTCACTGGGAACATTACCCACACTTAAGGCAGGCCCCATGCCCAGCAGTAGATGGCCAATACAAAGCAAACTCAATGGCACCTTTTTAGACTTTTACCTCTTGTTGCTTTGCCTAGGCATTTTTGTCTTATTTGTCATTTGCTTATTATGTATTATGGTTTCTTACTTTATATTTCTATGGAGTTTTGTGAGTGTGTGTGTGTGTGTGTGTGTGTGTGTGCGTGTGTGCATGTGTTTCTTTTTCTTTCTTGGTTGTTTGTTTGTTGCCTGTCTGCTTCCTAAAGAGAGAAACGGTGTGGAGTTGGGAGGGTCGGGAAGAATGGAGGATCTGGGAGGAGCAAGCATGAACAGCGCATCGTGGGTGAAAATAGTTTTCAATAAAAAGTAATAATCGTCCATCCTTTTCAAACACCACCAAACAGTCTGAGCTTTCAAAACGTTCTAAGTACTCCCTGGATTTATCATTGTGTTTAAATTAAATAATCTTCATTAAAAACATTAACAGAATCAAAGCATGTGTTCCATCTGACAATGTGCCTGAAGAGTAAGCCAGCAGCAAGCCATGAAGGAGGACAGGAGACAGGAGACAAGACTGAGAGCATGCTATGGATAAGACAGGCCATCATCTCCTTCACAGCGTGAAGAAGGCAGTCTAATTAAGATGCTTATTGGTCTCTGTTAACTTGCTGAGTGTTCCTGAAACCTGTAATTGATAAACAACCACATCCAGACATTTCACTGCACTTAGGATTTGAAGTGGTAAAATATAAAATTGCATGAGAAAAATGAGGATTAGTAAAGTGGACATCTTTACTAATGCTATTATCAGCTATTAGCCAACATGATTAACCTAGCAGTTATAAACAAGTTCATAACTACAACTCAACTTGAGTCTTCCACAGTGTGAGTCTTGAGGTTTTACCATCAGACTATTTGCTTTCCTCTAGGGCTGTTTAGCACCAGAAAAAAAAAATATGGACTACTAAAGTGCTTATTGTCTGTTTCTCTTTTCCCAGAGGGCATCAAAAAAATTAATAGGACAGAACCAAGTCAGACAGGAAACTTGTTTAGAAAAATATAAGCCTTGATGTCAGCCCTCTGTCGCTCACCTCCTACAGAGCATCCCTCTGTTCTGGTCTCTCACTGCTGTGCCCTTCCTGTCTCTTCACTGGTCCCTGACCCAGAGTACTTGCAGGTCCTGCAAAGCCAAGGGCTCCAGAAAGCTGAACAGCTCTTAGCAGGAAGTTCTGGGGACCTCTGTGGTCTTATGAATGTTAACTTTTCTAGGACTCTGCCTGCTTGGGCGGTCCTGCTCTCTATCGAGAGGCTCCGACTGTAGCAAGTCATTAAGTGTCCTTCAAATCCTGTGTGCTAACATGTGAACGTGCAATACCTAAAGGGCTAAGAAGAGATATCGTGGACCAGGTGTGGTGGTGAAAACCTCTAAATCTAGCAGGATGAGACTGAAACACCATGAGGTCAAGTGCAGTTGGCATTACATAGTGTGGCCACTGGGTTGGGACTAGAGAAAAGCAGAATGAAGAAAATGTGGTAAGAGCCTGGAGACTGTCTCAAGTTGTAGCAAACAAAGACTTAAAAAATAATATTTAAGTTGAAATTAAAAAACAATAATAACTCAAACCATCACTTACTCTTGCTTCATTCTGGTGAAGCTTTTCCTCCATACTTAAGGCTGTAGGGGAGTCCAAGAGGGCAATCTATAATGTAAGTCATAAAGACATCAGCAGTTAATAATCAGAAAAGATGTACATTTTTAATATTTTCACAAATTACCAAACATTTTCACAAAAAATTAAATGTTTATAAAAAGCAATTTCTCATTATTTCCAAAGTACTATTTATGATTAAGTCTCTAATCCATGGAATATATGTCTTAATATCAAAATCATGGCATCACAGGCATGAGCCTGCATCCGCCATACAAATCAGCAGAGGGAAAGCCATAGCAGCAGCGTTTCACTCAAGGCAAACACATCTAATTCCCTATAGCACTCAGAATTCGTTTATCTAATGCACAGAAAGAACAGAGTTCAAAAGGTAAGATACTTAAGTCTTGCTTAATAGTTCATACATGTTGAAATATACAAAACAAAACTTGTTTTCACTGCTGATGGCATCCAGCATATGACTGGACTATGCTACAATCTATATTTCTTTATCCATGCTGTGGAAGGGTAAAATCTGAAGTCATAAACACCCAAATCAGATGAGAACCTAGGACAAGTGGACATCCTGGGGTTTCAGTTGCATGTCTAATAACTAAGCCTGGGCCTCAGGGGCAGGATCATAAGTGCCCCCATTCTGTCTGCTGCCTTTGCTGCCAGAGATGGTACAGGAACACACAGAAAGAGTTCGGCACAGGCGAGCATTCTTTCTCAATTTAATGGAACCATGTTTTTGTTGTGTTATCATAAGTGAAAATGGTATAAGTCAGTTATCCTGACTATTGCTTTTAAAAAACAATATATTAGGAATATATTATATATACTTAAAATATAAACCCTTTTTTTTTTTACTTTTAATGATTTTCTTTCCATTGTTTGGTATTCACTGCATGGCTATCCTGTAGTTGCTGTTGGTGCTTTCCTGACTGATGTAAATGCAGGCTTTTCTAGTCATTTGCTTTACCAGTAATGCGACAGTAACTATCCTCGTACCAACCGCCTACAGTACATGTGACCATATCAACAGACTAAATTTCCTGAAAGGGAACTCCTTAGCCATCATGTGATTCTTCCCTACAGTACCAGCATGGTTTTCATTTCTTTCTCTTTCTCTGGACTTCTTAGGTTCAGGTACACATTCAGTCTATCAGGATGGCTGCGCGCCACACTAGGACTCTGTGAACAACAGAGGACAAGACATAGCTGCTCAGTGGGGAAGCACAGTGTAGAACTCACAGGGAAGAGCCTGGTGACAGTGTCTAGAGGGCTTCTTCAGCTACCCATGTACATGGTGGAGATACACATGGGCATCTATGCAGCCCACCTTCATTTGAAATTCTCAGGCCACAGCAGCCAAAGTTCAGTGAAAATACCAGGGCATATCTTCTGAGGGGCATGTCCAGTTATAGGAGTCCCTTGCCTCAAGGGATCCAAAGGTATAGCTTCGCAGCTGCCATCTTACATTTATATATTGTCCATCTTAACCTGGATGAAATTCATCAATTGGGGGAATATTTTTATTATTATAAGTATTGCCTTGTTATACAGCTGGCATCCCACTTTTACCAGGTTTAGAGATATGAAAGTTAAATTAAACCTAACACGCTTGCCAAAATGCTGTGTAGCCAACGGTATTCATTGTATTGATCATTTTCCACGTAATCAGAAAGCAATCTGAAACTAGTTTTCTACAACCTGTGCTCACCCTATTTCTTCTCTTTCCTGTTGGGTTGTAATGCTTATCTCTGTAGCTGCTCTTGCCGGAGCAAGGGAAATGGTGCTAGGTCTCACAAGAGCAGCCTCCTTCCTATCTGAACTGTGTTGACCACAGTGGATGCTCATGATGTTATAGTGCTAGGTCTCACAAGAGCAGCCTCCTTCCTATCTGAACTGTGTTGACTACAGTGGATGTTCATGATGTTATATGCACTGTTGTATCCCCACGCACTTCTGCCTGCCTGCGTTCTCACGGAAGGAGAGCAATGTCCTGTCTGGTTTTAACTGTGAACTGCACTCTATGTCATGACAAAGGAATCTTTTCTAGAGCTCAATTTATTACTCTTTCTGCATCACTCGCCTTCTCGGTGCGCTAACGAACAGGACTCCACCACTCCTATAAGCATCATCTGCCAAGCTTTACTCTGTGTTCTTGTCTCATACACATCTCTACAAAGCTGCTCTGCTATTTACATTCTAACACCAGGTCTGGCTATAAAAACGAGAGTCTGTTATACCTCCTTCCTTTTCCCCTTTGTTTTCTTTGCATATTAACTGTTTTTGTTTATTCCATTTCTATTTTTATTAATTTACTTTTTCCCAAATTCATTTGTGAAAGATTAGGGAATTGAAACATTTTCTTTTTATAAAGTCAGAAGTGGAAATATTTGTAAATGCAACAACACTTGATAAGAAAATGCACCTAGAGGCCAACTTCATTAACCATGTGAAAATTGCAAAGCAAAGCCATTTTGTCATAGCATTGAGCAAGGGCAAGGATCTGCAGCTACTCAGCTGGCACTGGTGTATGGTGATGGGGAAAGGGAATGGCATAACTACTTTAAAAACTAGTGGTTCCTCCTAAAATTATGCATATAATATGTATACCTCTGACCCCCAAGCCTTCCTTGGCATAAGCCCCACAGAACTATATCTGTATGTATATTAAAAAGCATTTAAAGATCCACAAGAAACATAATAACCCCAAGTAAGAAACCCCCCAAAAAAGTAAATCAAAAATTGACAGATGAACTAGGAAATCTTTGTATAATGGAATACAGAGGTGAGAGTAAGTGGGTGCTCACCTACATGCAACAACATGGATGAACCTCAGAAACACACTGGATCCAAATAACACATATTGCAAGAGTCCATATATATATATAAAGGGCAAAAGCAACCAAAGCCAAAAGCTCTGCCTCAAATGGTCAGGAAGCAGGGGTACCCGTGAGAAGATGGGAGGGTAGGTCCTGGCACTGAGAGTGGCTCCTGGACATGGTGAAGCTCTGTTCTCAAGATGAGCACAGGGAGATGGGTGACTTGAGCTTCTAAATCCATGTAACTACATATACATGATGTAATTTGTCTGTACCTATATATACTTCTGCAAAAACTCTCTGTATACATTAACATACATATATACACATATATTTCTGTGTAATAGAAGTAAATATCTATCAGAATCTTTCTTTTTTATCAAATTGTATTTTTAAATGTTTGGCACATGATCTCTGCAATATATAAAATTACTAAAAATAAAAACTGATTTTCTTTAGCTTTGCTTAAATAAACAATTCTAAAAATGGAAGTTAAATTAACACTCTCAAAGAACTATAAGAACATTGGAATAGAATGTTCTGGAAATAGAGGAATGTTCTCAGAAAGATTTATTCAGAATTATTTTAGAGAGCGATTGAAAGGGAGATGATGCTTGTGGGGGGGTGGTACACAAATCTTGGAGGTCAGAGGATAGCTTTGAGTGTTGGTTCTTAGGCACCTTCTACCTTAGTTTGACATCTGTCTCTCATTGGTCAAAACTTCACAGTGTAGGTGAGGCTACTGGTCCACAAGGTCCCAGGGATCTGCGTGGCTCCACTCCCTATCTCACCATGGCCAGGATTCCAGGCATTTACCACCTCACCTGGCTCTATATAAGCAAGTACTCACAAACCAGACCATCTCTCCAGTCCCTTATTCAGAGAGTTCCTTAATGACCATTTATGAACATTTATTAATTATCACAAAATTAATTATGTAGAATATACCTATAATTTCTCAAAGACTTATAATTTCAGAATTTTTCTTATTTTGATTTAGACTCCTATGTTTGCTATAAAGTATATGTTAAGATTATCAAAATATATTTTCTAAATAGACTCTCCATCCTTACTTCTAAACCAGTGACAAAATCACTCCCTTAGTTATAGAAATGACATTAACTTGTGACAGAAGTAAGAAGAACAAACAAACACAACCATAAACAGGGCAAACACAAGTCAGGGCTGACGAGATGGTTCAATGGGTGTGCTGGGTAGTTTTGTGTCAACTTGACACAAGCTAAAGTCATCTGAGAGAAGGGAACCTCAATAAGAAAATGTTTCCATATGATGGAAACTATAAACAAACCTGCAGGACATCTTCTTAATTAGTGATTGATGAGAGAGGGTCCAGGGTGGTCCTGAGTTCTAGAAGAAAGCAGGCTGAGCAAGCCAGAAAGCAGCACCCTCCCTAGTCTCTGCATCAGCTCCTGTTTCCTGGTTCTTGCCCTGTTCTAGCTCCTGTCGTGACTTCCTTCAATGATGAACAGTGATGAGAAGTGTAAGCCAAATAAACCCTTTCCTCCCCAAGCTGCCTTTAGTCACAGTGTTTCATCACAGGAGGAAGAACCCTGACTAAGACGGGGGTAAAGGCACCCAACCTGATGTCAGGAATTCAAGCCTAAGAATTCACATGATGAAAGGAGGGAACCAAATTTGGAAAGTTGTCGTCTGGCCTCCATAGGGATACCATGGTATGGGCAGACCCACGCTCCCTCAACAGTCACTTAGAAGATCAAGGGAAAGGAGCTGCATGAAATATTTTTCAAATGCTTTCCTTCACATATTAATCATTTAAAAGGCTGACTTTAGATAAGTAATGTTTCCCGAAACACAGATAAAGGATTCCAATAGCAGTGTATAAATAGAAACAAGTATTGTGGTTCCTGATACCTCATTCTGCTGACAACTCCCTTTCACGCAGGAGGCCTGACATCACAAATTGAAGCGTGTACGCAGGTATTTTTAAGTGCAATGAAGGAGTCCTGCAAAACTGTAGTCTGCCATCTTGTGGGAAAGGACTACCAAGCCGACTTCAGGACACAGGAAACTGAAGTTTCATTTGAACAATATTTCTACAGTTCAAACCATTCATAGGCTATCAAGAGTGTGGAGTACTGTATATGCTTACAGGGATAGCACTGAGCACTTCCCATTTACAGAGATGGAGTTGTTTAACAATAGACTTAAGATATCAATAAATGCATCTTCATTTTATTTCTACCAGCAACAGTTTAAAACAACTTCCCTGATTTTCTTTCAAGGGTGGCCTTTCTTCACAGTAGGACCTGAGCCATCTGGAACTTAGCTCACACAGTTCTCACACAGCATAAGCTTGTAGGAACATGTTCAGACTGGGAGAAACAAAAGGACACAGCTTCTCCGGAATTCAGAAGATCCTGAAGTGAGGCCATTTCAATAATCATGCAAGGCCAGGAGAATAGCATCACAGCCGTCCACAGACATGCTTTCAGAGGCACCACTGAGGCACCATAACTACCTATAGCATGGTTAAAGTGAGACCAGGACTCAAAAAGGTGGTCAAATATATCTCCTCAGTTAAAATACATTTATAGTCATAAAATGCATGGCAAGAATCTTAAATAATACTCTAAGCGTCTAAATTTCTTTTTACTAATGGAGATTATGCTACTAGTCCTATTGCATGTTAAATATCCATCCATAATTGATAACTATTAGATGGTCAATCATTTAAGGCTTGATGGATAAAATCTTATACCCAGAATGTATTAGGAATGCAAAGGCCAAAAGGAAGCTGATCTAGAGTCTGGCTAACTCATCCGAAGCTTTACTTAGCACTTATTTACTCAAATCAATACCACAAGATAATTGTCTCATTAAGATCTAGAAATAGATGCCATTACTCAAAGAAAATTATCTATAAATCTCAGGAAAACTCAACCTGATTCCCTTGAGCGAGCAGGGTTTTCAGCCTGGCTATTTCGGCTCGCAGCTCACGGATGAGCTTGACGTTGGCATCCTCATTAATGGTAGGCTTGTTGATGATGTTTTTGGCTCTATTTGCATAGCGAAGGGTACTTAGGGTTTCTCCATAATTGACATCAGCAGGTGAAATGGCTGTGAAGAATGAATACAGAAAATAATTCATCTAGCACTCCATGTTTCATTTAACACAAAGTTGGTTTGTAATTTAAAAGTCAGATCAACCCCAGGTCACAGGAAAGACTAAATATTCATCACCACAGTAATGAATATTAAAACATTATCTAAGGTTTATAGGAAAGGGTGTTCGCTATACCAAGTTAAATGTCGTTTTGCTCCTCTCACATCTATAATCAGCCACTTGAACAACTTCAAGATAGGGGGTGAGATATCCCACACAGGAAAGGGCTTTCCTCAGCCAATAACATGAAATTTCAGGATTGTACTTCTCTATTGAGCAAGAATTAAAATAGTTTTGCATTTCTGATAAAAATCTATTATCTGAAAAAGCCCAAAGCCCAGAATTTTTTCAAAAGTCAGTAGACTACTTAATTCCTTCGTTCTAGTAGCTTTTGGTTCCTTCTACACTGCAGCCCACTGCCACTCCCACCAAATCTTTAAGACTAAGGTGAGTATGTGGCTGTGTTCCCTTAACACCACCAGTGACTGCAGGGCAAGGGCTGTGAAGAGTACAGAGGAGAGAGAAGAAAAAAGGAGAAAGAGACAAAGGGAAGTAAGGCTGAGAGGTAACAAGCCCTGAGTTCCCCTTAGCAAATCTCCTGTTCTACATAATTTTTTCAATCCTTAGTCTCTCATTTAAATTGATAATTGTAAAAATAAAAGTATACTACTATTCCAATTGTGTTTAACTCCTTGGTTTTTCCTTTCAATTTTCAATTCTGCATCTACCATTTTAAATAGTAAAAGTTCGGGTTGTTTATTTGTTGCCTCTATATAGGAGCTAGTGAAGCTCACAGTGCCTGCCTTATACTTTAAGCAAAGAGAAGCCGAGCATGTCTGCCTCGTATTGTAGCCTCCATGATGCCCAAGTATACACAACAGCAAATTCCAAACTACAAATGTGTTACAATAGGTGATTTTCAAGACAGGAAGAAACATCCTAATGAGACACTTTCAACTTAAATATTTACACTTAATACTGATGCTCAGGGATATAATTTAAATTCTTACTAGCAATCATGATGGTTTTAGAGTTTCCTCCAAGGCTGTCTTTCAAGAGCCAAGTCAAAACAGAATCTCTATAAGGCACAAAAACTTGCTTCTTCTTCACAAGAGGGTTGGCTGCATCCTGAGATAAATCAGCTGCCGGGAAGAAAGAAATAGGAGATCATTTGAAAGTCCTCTCTAATTTACTTCTAAAAGACCCGAGCAAGCTGCCTTGGTTCGTACAACAAACATCCAGCAAGTATGTTCCGAGCTAACACTATACCGATACAAAAAGGGCAATAAGTGACCTCAAACCTACCTAAGGCAGAAATGACATTTCCCAGAGTCACGAGGGACTTGTTTATATTGCCCCCTTCCTTAAGCCTGACCCCAGTGGCACCGGTGGCATCCGCACGCTCACTTCCAGCAAGATCGACCAGGTGGATCTTGCTCACAGTTTCACACGGCATTTCGGCGTCGAATTTGGCCTGCAGAGAGACAAGCGCGTGACACTGAAGAGGACAAGGGCTCCGTGCGTTTCATGACCAGATCCCCACCACTTTCCTCTCCCAGCAGAGATCTCTCAGGTAGACTTTTGGTGTTTATTTGCTTGTTTTATTGGCTATTGTAGTGATTATGAGAACTGCCCAAGCTAAATTAGAAGTCCCGCATTGGGACTCTCTTGCTTTCTGAAGAACCAGTCCATTTGGCAAACCACTATCACTTGACAAATACCCTAAGGATTGGAGCACAAAACAATATAAAACCAATCCCTAAGAGGAAGTGAGAAAAAAACTAAATAAACAAGTAATTAGCTTTATTCTTCTGGAAGTTGCAATATTCCAGACACAAAGGCGGTTCAGACATGACTAACAGACAGTTATGTAGGATATCATTTGATACCATTTAATAAAGCACATCACATCTTTAAAGATGGGGAATACTAAAACGTAAGTTCCTTTGCTCTGGATCCTACCAGAACTTCGTATTTCCAAAGAACTTTAACCTATGTTTTATATTTTTAGCCAAATGTAATAAATCATAATACAAATAGATTTTGACAGACACGTAAACCTTTTAGAAACTATAGTCAGCTACATACTGGTTAGGCATCCACCAGAAAACTGGAGAAAAGCCAGTAAGCTGCTATAACACAAAGTGGGGCTCTAACTGAAGTCCCGGCAAGACAGAGAAGTCCGGGAAGCTTTTCTGACCCACCTTGGAGAGTCAACTCATTTTCCTGCCCTCTGGGCTGCCTGGCTGTCTCTGCTGTGTTCCATGTCAATGTGGAGAGACAATGCCAATCCCTAACACTTGCTGAAACCAGGAGGACTTGCAACTTTGCATACCTGGGGGTTGGGCTTTGGTAACAGACTACTTCCCCTCAGCCACTCCCAGCCACCTTCAGGACACTGTCCACCACCCAATCATAATGGATTCTTATATTAGTGCCTCAGTGCTGGCTGTCTTCTAATACTACTCTAATCATAATCAGCATCACCAGAGCCCATAGCGTGATAATGTACTGCGCCCGTTTCTCACCTCGGCCTCCAGCTGCTCTGCCTCAAAATCCATTATCTCCCACTGTGCTTTTAACAATGAAAACTTTTGCTTAATTAGGTACAGAGCAAGTTTTTCTTATGCTAGAACAAGGTGGAAGCCTGTAAATATCTCTAGGGCTGTATACATCAGGACTTTTAAAACACTGTGAATGCAGAAGGGCTGAGCACACAGCACATGCTTGCCTCTAATTAACAAGGAAGTGACAGTCACCTTTGCTTGCTGCTGCTCCTGGTTCAACAATGATCAGTGCTCAGCTGGTGCTAATCAGCAAGCAAAGGCCTGAGAGATGGAGCCTCTGCCCCATGGCTGCCCTTACCTGAGTGAACTTGATGGTGAAGATGGCATGAGACCTACTACTGACGTCATTCATCCCCGTTGCTGCAGTGGTACGGTTGATATTCCCTGCGTCCATAAGTTCTTCCACGTCACTGTAGTTCTGGACTAAATGCTGTGATAAATCTAGAAGGAAACAAAAAAGGCTTGAGAGAATCCTTCTGTTACGTAGTAAAAGAAACCAACTTCCCTCTAAAAATCATGCATGACTACACATCTGCCGACCTGTTTAGGGATCTGGTGTTGTAGAGCGGTGGTCTGTAATGCAGACTGGGAGTCGGAAAAGTTGCTTGGTCTCAATGGGTCTCACCAACCTAATCTGAGTGCCCATTACACTCCATTCCACAGACTGTCAGGATAAAAGCTGGCTATTAACAGGAACCTCTTAGAAGCAGGCATGGCACAAGGAAGAAGAATATGAAAGCTCCACCACCAGGAAAAGCCTCATGCATGCCTCACCCTTGTACAAAACCTGAAAATTTTTTGGGCTCTCAAAACTTTTCGCTGTCTCTTTTTTCTTGAGAGGAAGGTAGCTCATAGGGTTAAAAGTTTCACTATCTAGGGCCCCTCTGCTTTTTCCTTATAGCAAACTCTTTCCCTCCTTTCTGCCAGGTAACCATTTAACCAGTTTCCCCACACCCTTCAGGACAATCCATATACACTAAGGCAGTTACACATATATAAAGTTGCCTTTCCTCCCCCTCTGTGCACGTGGTAGCATCTGGGGTGGGACACAGGAGGTCCTTAGGTCAATCCCACGCACCAGGATATGATTTTTAGAGTAGTGTATGGTGAACATTGTTGAGTTTCATGCTTTTTTTCTAAGTCCATTTCAGGATGCTCTGTAACAGTTAAGATGACCTGGTGTTCATTTTTAAGGCTGCAGTGAAATGGCTGTATCTCTGAAGCACAACCAGTTTAACCAATCACCTCTTGAGATACAAATACAAGTAAGGGCTGCTAAAATATTTTGTGCACTGTTCTTTTCAAATGCATGGGAATGTAGCTACAAAATAAATTCTTGGAGGCAGAACTGCTAAATCCAAGGACATTGGAAAATGCTGACAAATGCTGCAAAGCTCACCTCCACAGAGGGCAGTTTGCTGCAGCAGCAGGAAAGATATGAAGCATGTTTGGCCCCCATCCCCTTCCCAGCACTCTCTCTATCCACCCAGAGATGTGACAAGCATCACCTGCCGGGGTCTTTCTGCTTTTCTACTATGGTGATGGAAGCTGAGTTACGCTCTTCCCACCTAAAATTCATCCATAGATCAGGGTGGTGGTATATCCCAGTGCCACAGAGCATTGGCCAGGCACACTCAAGGGAGACCCTGGGTCTGATTCCAAGCACCACTGGGGAAAAAAAAATTACTCTTCTATGGCTTCTGGATCAAATTTTTGAAAAAAAAAAAACCTTTCTCTAACATTCTGGAGAAAAAAACACAGTACCTTGTGATCATGTCGTATTTAGTGTTTCACATGTAAATCCTCAACTTATTTTTCAAATGTTTTGGTATAGAAGTTGAGTGATGACACTTTATTTTTCTTTTCAAATAATTTATAATCCATACTCCCCAAAGTTTGAATAATGCATTATTTTAAAATGTGTAAGAATCATAAGTATAGAGATCAATAGATCCAGATGTTTTTACCCTGCTTATTCTGTTTCTTCATATATCGGTTTTATATGTTTTAACATCTGCTATAATAATTAAAGGAAAAGTATAAAGCTCATGTTAGACTGAAAGCAATAGGTATTCTCCAACACCCCCAACACACACACACACAGCTGCAGCTGCACACCTTTCTCAAGAAAAATAAAGCTTAAATAATGTAAATGGAAACTTAAAAAACAGATGCGGTCCTGTTGGCAAACTGAAGACCTCAAGGTTAAAAAAAAAGGGGTGGGGGGCTGAAAGAGGTACACCTTCAAACCTATGTGAGGGGGCCAGGGAGCCAGACCAGGCTCCTAGTAGCCCTGCCAGAGACCATGTCTTAGTTTAAGTTTACTGGAACTGAGCAAGCAGTTCTTGGAAAGATCACAACTCAGGGGCAACCAATCAGCAGGTGCTCCACAACCTTCTGCTAGTAAAGATAGCTTTCCCCACTCTACTGCTGGAAAGTCCCTAGCCACAGCAAGGGAACATGCTTCATGGATAATACCATAAGAAAGCACGATTCCATTAGCAATTCCTACTCCCTTAGGTTACTGCCCCAGCAGTTACACAGCTCCCTTAGGGAGAGCAAAACTAGCCTCCTAGCATGCATGACCTGAAACCTTGAGTATTCGTTACTCCTCTCACTACTATGATCAAAAATACCTGGCAACATGACTTAATGGAGGAAAGGGTTATCTTGGCTCACAGTGAAAGGGGAGACACACATGTTAACCACAGTGGTGAGGGCATAGCGGCAGAACTAGGAAGCACCTAGTCACTAGTCACATTATGTCCATAAAGTCCATATGTCTCAGGAAACTGAGAATCATGAATGCTTGTGTTTAGCTTTATTCAGTCTGGGTCCCTAAAACATGGATTGGTGCTACCCACATTAGGGTGAAGCTATTCTATCTCAACTAAAGAAATCTAGATAATTCCTCATAAGGATGCCCAGAGATTTGTTTCCATGTTAATTCAAAAATCCCATAGAGTTGACAAAAAGATTAACTGTCATAGCCAGCCTGGCAAGGGCCAGTTCTCTGCACCACATTACATGCAACACCCTCCATGACTGGCTGTGCCTCAGTTAGTGTTGGGGGAAGGGCCACTAGGAAGAGACCAGAACATTAATGATTTTTTACAATCTTGGCCCAGGAACCCCAAAGTACTCACATCGGAATGCCATAACTTAATACCACAGAGATGCATCCCAGAGACGGTGCCCAGATCCTTTAACCAAAACTGACCTTAACTACATGACCCTGGTTTGCATGGCTATGCATGGCCCCGGTTTGCACAGCTATTGCATGACCCCGGTTTGCACGTCTATTGCATGACTCCAGTTTCTACAGCCATTGCATGGCCCTGGTTTGCACAGCTATTGCATGGCCCTGGTTTGCACGGTTACTGCATGGCACAAGTTTGCACAGCTATTACATGACCCTGGTTTGCTATTGCATAATCCTAGTTGGCATGGCTAGTGAATGGCCCTGGTTTGCATGGCTACTGCATGACCTTGATTTGTATGGCTATTAATTGCATGACACAGGATACACAACTGAAAGGTATATGCACAGAGGCTCATGCTAACCTCCCAGACCTGCACTTAACCCAGGATGAACTGAATTCCTTCATATGGCATACATTACATGCTAAGAAAGTGCACACAGAGAAACACATCCATACCATAAAGGTACTTCTAAATGGTAACCTCCACAGCACATCCATGTGCTTCTCTAGCTATTTCTCAGCCTGTGGTGCCCTTGTACTATACTCAGTGAAATATGTTTCTTATTTTAATCTAAAGGGTGAATTCATTCACTGTCTGCCAGACCCTGCCTAACACTGTAGAGGCAGGTGCCCAGTCCACCACAGTTATCCTATCATAACACAGACGCCAAGAACCAAGACAGACCATCTATGGGAACTCTTCTGACTAACAAAAGGCCTGAGACTACTTCTTCCACCCACCACCATAAGGTCAGTGAAAGTACCTATCGTAGTAAAATGCATCACCACTGAGACACACAGATTTCCAGGGTACGGTGGTGGGTGTAGATGGGAAAACTAATTTCCAGACAGTTTTTTTAAGCCAAAAGAAATGATGCATAGGCCTCCCAAAATAAGCTAGTGAATACCTAGTGAAGTATAGATTCACAGAACGAATGGCATGAAGTGGCAGCTCCTGTCACCTTTACGCTAATAAAATTCCAAAAGTAAACAACTGTTTAAATTCTTACCATCACTAGAGTTTTGTACCTTTTATTTTTACAGCCTCCCAAGGGAGAGCAGGCAAGTGTATGAAGACAAGAAATTTCCTTCTTACCTTCAACGTAAGGCCCTTCTTTGGGATGCTCACGAACTCTTAAATTGAAGGTTTTAGATGACTTCCGCCTAAGTAGGTCTCTCACACGTTCGTTGTAAATTTCTAAGTAGCTAAAAATTTTAAATAGAACAAATTTTAGAAAAAAAAAATGTTTTTAAGACATTATTAATAACAAGCACAACACACACGGCAACAGCAGCCACATATGCCTCTGCTGTGTGCTTTACAAGAAGCACGTCACTGAGTCCTAGTAATGGCCCAAAGGTGGGTACTTCATCACCCCATTTTATAGATATGACAAGAGAGGTCCGGGAGACTTTCAATAACTTGCTCAGAGTCCCTCTGGCTCTGAGCACTACAGGTGAACACTGGAGAGACTCAACGACAGAAAGGGAAAGGTACTCTGTGACCCTGACTGACGTGAGGTGACACTCACAGGGCCCCACACAGCAGGTAACACAGACATGGCTTAGTCAAGAGTGAGACGAATTGCATGAGCTCATGAAAGTCAAGGGTACACTCCACTTGAGATAAACATAGAATAAATACCAAAGCCTCCATCAAGCAATGCTATTTCACACCCAAATCGTGCCCAAGTGGTCTTAGTTCTACTCAGTTCTACTCCTAACTAACATTAAGTTCAAGTTAGGAGGGGACAGGCTATTCCTCAGCAGTCTGCAGCCTCACCCTTCCCTCTCCAAGACCTCTGCATAAGACAGGCAGCCTGGGACCCTCTGAACTTTATGCCTCAGGTCAAGGCCCTACCTGACTTCCGTCCTGAAAGAGGCTTCATCCCATCTGGTGGTTTCACTGATTCGACTGAAGAGCGCTTCACAGATCCGAGGTATTAAACCAGAATCGCCCTGAAATGGAGACGAAGGGTGTCACAACCATCATGCAAACTAGACATGGACTCTAGCGGCCTGGGTGCCAAGCCCAAACCTTCCACAAGAGTCCATATAAGACTACTTCTTACTTTGAAATAAAAAGATAATGTCTTCTAATTGAAAAATGCTATGGTTTGAAGAATACATGTTTATTTGATGTTAAACCATCTAACACTGGTTTGAAGGATAAGGAGACTTGTTCTCTATCAAAGAATATAGTTTATAATACAGAATAAATCTTTAAAATTATTAAAGATTTAATAATTAAATCTTTAATTTAATTTAATTAAATTAAAGTTAAGTTAAGTGACAAAGAAGGGAAAAAACATACCAAAAAACTTTACAGAATCCTCCAGATAGGCATCTTAAAATGTAAGTGGCAGGAGAATGTTAAACTATAGAAGACAGGCTTCCTTTGGTAGAACCAATCCCTGCATGGTTCCTCTTAGGAAGAGCAAATCCACCATATCACCAAGCGATGTGGGTATATAATCACAGTTCAGTATGCACAAGCAAGGCTGCAAGCAACACTCTATGGGCTGGCTAGTTTTATGTAATTTAATACCAACTAGAGTAATCTGAGAGGAGGGAGAATCAATTGAGAAAATGCCTCCATAAGATCAGGCTCTAAGCAGACAAGCGTATTTCCTTAATTAGTGGGGGGAGGGGCCAGTCCATTGTGGGTGGGGCCAACCCTGGGCTGACAGTCCCAGGTCCTATAAGAAACTGAACAAGCCATGGGGAGCAAACCAGTAAGCAGCATCTCCACGGCCTCTTCATTAGCACCTGCCTCCAGTTTCCTGTCCTGCTTGAGCTCCTGTCCTGACTTCTGGCAATGTAGAAGTGTAATCCAAATAAACCCTGCCCCCACTCAACCTGCTTTTGGCCTTGCTGTTTCATCATGGTAACAGTAACCCAAACTAAGACACTGTGCATCAGGCAAAATGCTCTCACTAGAAAACCCAGCCCTCAGAGCACCCAAGCGTTCTTGGGCAGTCCTTTCCTACCTCCTCTCAACTCCCCCTTGAAGAATTTAAGAACTACCATGGGCACTGCTTTAAGGTATTTTTCCCTTTGTACCTACCATTTCATTGGTACAAGCTGCTACCAGGGAAAACTGATAGTTCCACCACAAGTTTTCATTCTTACTTTATAATACATAAGCAGAATGCTGAAGCTGTACCTACCTACAAGGATAGAGAAAAAGCACCTGCCATTTAGGAGTGCTCTGTAAAGTCTTATATAAAGTAGCTAGTGGAAAATCGACACACAAATTTCATTTTTAGAGTTTTTCCCCCAAAAGTTCAGCAAGAAGCTAAGAATAGAAAAATGATGATTAAAGTGAAATGGGAAATTTGAGATGTGTTCTCTCTCTCTCCCTTGTTCTTCCTGCCTTCCAGCATGGCATACAGCTCGGTGCCATATTTCCCATGTAAACACAAAGTCTGCATTTGATAAGCCAGGTTCCAGAGAGGTCCTAGAGATCCATTCCCCTCCAATACCATGCTTTCATGACCACCAAATCTTGACCACTGAAAACACCACTGTGCCTGCTGGCAAGGGGCCCTAAAGCCAATCACAGTGTCTACATTTAGAACACACCACAGGTTTGGTCATTTTGAGCAGAGTTTTTGCTGCCGCAGGAAAAATAAATAAATATGCATCATTGCATATTTAATATTAAGACATTGCATAAAGTCTTAAGGACTTTTTTGTGGGTTGTTTTTTGCTTGTTTTTTTTGTTTGTTTGTTTGTTTGGTGTGTTATTAGAGACCCAGTCGTGGCCTTGAGCTGTGTAGGAGCTCTACCCCTGAGCTATGAAGCTGCATCCCCAGTTCCTAAGCTCTTCGGGCTGGTCTGAAGTCTACAATCATCCTACATTAGCCTCCCAGGAAACTGGGATTACAAGTGCATACCATGATGTCCGAATTCACTGTATCTACATGTCACCTCTCCACATTCCGGGGCAAATACAGCACAGTGGCTGTTAGTTTACCTGGATTAATGACTAAGCTGCGTTTATAACATGTAAGCCGTGAGGGCTCTGCAGTGCCAACTTCTCATGCATTTGCTGGGCTTATGTAACACCTTTCCATCAAAAAGTTAGATTTTCCTTTTTACACTATTCTTAGGGAAAACATTCTGAATAATTTTAAAAAGAACAGACTTTGGTAATTTTATTCAAACTGTTATACTGGCAGAAAAGAAGAATAAATTACTTTCTTGATAAGATTATAAGGTCTTTAAAAGGAGAAACAAACTGGGACTTACACCCATTATTCGTGCTTATAACGTAAAACTATTTCTAATTTCAAATCTCTCCAAGGAAATTTAGTTCAACTTAATACTGAGTTTTATTTTATTACTAAAGGAAGATCAGAACAGGAAGAGCTGGTGCAGACCTAGTAGATAAGAGGTAATTTTATCACTCCAGAGAAAGATAACAAGAAATTTCCTTCCCACACAGCACATAAACAACTAAACAACATACAGAATTTCCCATCATAGTGTAGGACTTTCCGGATCCAGTTTGCCCATATGCAAAGACACAAGCATTATAACCTTCAAAGGCAGATTTCACGACATCTGTGCCCAGAGTTTTGAAAACCTAAAAGAAAAAATATATATGCATATATATTAACACAAAGAATGCAAGTACTGTGGATTTTAATAAAAGTTCCTGCAGTGTTGACAATATTCTTGAATTTACTTTCATCTTTAGAGATTACAGCATTAAAATAAATCACTGCCGAGCTGTAACAACAGAATATATATGCACCCCAGTTTTTAATCAAAAGTAAACTCTCTAAGCAAGCAAAAAGCAACACCGTCCTTTTTCCTACTTAAGTTAGCAAATGATTTCTGAAATATAAATGTAAACAAGGCCAAGTGGCAATTGTGTCCAGAAGCAAAGATTTTAACATGAGATGTTAAAATTCAGAACTGCATATTGTGTAAAGCTATTCATCTTACCCGAGCCTCCAGAAATTAATATTCAAAACCTAAAAGTCACAGTAACCAGAAATTATTGTCTGAATCCTGCCAGATCAAAGTCTTCATATCTCAGGGCCAATGTTTGTTTCTCAAGATGAGTCTGGAGGAGACCTGGGGTAGCAAAGTGCAGGGGGCAGGGTGGTGAGTGGCGGGGCTCTCTCATTACTAGGTCCTGGCGTGTTTTCTGTCTACATACTTGTTCAAATACTTGTAGACATGGAGGGGAGGCAGGCGGGGCACATCCACAACCTGTGTTTCTGTCCCAGAGCCCATTTCACTGCTATTTGGGGGGATAGAGGATGAAGCAGAAATGCTCCGGGAGCACAGCTAATGTAAACGAGACAGATTAAAATGTGGAGTGCCCCAATTTGGTGATGTCTCAATGTCCTCTAAGTCCAGCACACCAAGGCCCCCTCAAACATCTCTGCTACAAAAAGGAAGGGCATTTTGGCATCTACAGATGCGAGAGCTGGGGGAAGTGAGCAAGTGGGATGCCCACAGTATACAAGATGGGGACTCCCACAGCGATGAGCCCTCTGCGTCAAAACCAGGAGACCCAGAAAGCTATTTCCCCCAAAGTATGCAGGACAGCAAATCCTAGGCTACGGTGGCCATGAGGTCACCTGGAGAACTCTCAAGAGTCCCAGTGGCCAGGCCAGCAACTCCGTCCAGTGAAATATGACTCTGTGTGAACCCAGGAATCAGTACGCCGCAAAACTTCTCAAGTGAATATTGTATCCCTGATCACAGCAAAGTCTGCTGACAGTTCAGCTGCCACACACAGTGTAATAAAAATACAGTTAAATGGACTCGGGCTTTCTCCCTCCACCTTGTTCGCAATTCCTTTAGATACATCAGTAAAGCTTTGCTAACTATAATTTCAACTGAAGTTCTTTCACAAATGGCTACAGCCATCTATTCTCAGTTCATTTTTGCCAATTTCAGCTTTAGACACTGTTATTTTCTGATTGCATTGTTAGAGTCTAAGGACTTATTCATTACACAGCTGTGACAGCAGCTCCCATTTCCTGGGCACTGTCACAGGTTCATGTAGTGATTCAACGGGGACAATGCTCACAACCCCTCAGAGGAGGAAGCTGACAGGGAAGGTCAGATCAGACCCTGGCCAGTGAGTGGCAGAGCTGAGGCTGCACCCTCATTACAGGGCCATGGCCATATCCTCTAAAGTCATGAGACCCTGGTGCTGGCTGGAAGGATGTATCCCCAAACTTCTGTGAAGCTAGAACCCCAGAGAGACTCAGGGATCCAGATCACGGGCTTGGGTCTCCTTTCACTAATACATATGAACCACAAAGAAAAATTCTATTTCTCCAATTCTCTCAGATTGGAGCAAAAACAGAAAGTCTTCCACAGACAATTCAGAAAATAAGAAAGGGGCATTTCTCATAACTTAGACACATAAATCACAGAAAACAGTTAAACCAAACTCAAATGTCTCCACAACCTGGCCCTGTCCTTCGCTGGCCCTGGGAAAGCTGGCCCAGAGCTTCATGGGAGAACTGATCTCTACCCTTGGGAGAGATAACCCCACCCCTCACCACAGGCTAGGGATAACCTAGTCTGCTGACTTGGCAATAGGGGAGCTGGCTCTGCCCCCTTGCCTGATGTGAATGCCCCAGTGGCCAGGACTGACCAGTTCAGCTGCCACCCAGAACCACAACCAGGCCTTGGGTTGGCCCACCCTAACATCTACCCCATCTAGGACATGTTGGAGCTCGTGAAGGGACTGGTCCTATGGAAGGATAAACACGAGGGTGGCTGCAGGTTATCCCAGGGGAGTTTGGGTGAAGCTCTAGTGATGATGGTATACCAGAAGCCAGAGACCTTGAACCAAACCAAGGACACTCCTATTATTATTCTGTTTACAAGTAGAAACTTACCTGGGTGGCTTACTGACAGACTCATGAGCCCCAGTAGGAGCAATGGTAGGACAGACCAAGAACAGGTAGGTCTGCAGGTGACACCAGGTCTAGTCCAGCCTCAGTATCAAGCAACCCACCCATCATAGACAGACAGGAATGCAGAAACAGGCACTGTTGTCTTCTCTAGAGGCTCCCCTGTCACACTCCCACCACCCACTGATTTGGCATCTGCTACTTTATCAAATGGAAGGTCACATTCAAGAGACGGATGAGTCCATTAGCACCAAACCCTCACTAGCACAGTTACCCCAATCTGCCTTGCTATGTGTGGAAATGTTTCAAGCTCCTTTCAAAGGTGACCCAAGCTCTCCCAGGGCCTTGCCAGTGGGGAATCAGCCACAAGAGGGCACTGCTGAAGCAAAGACACCACAGCAAGCCTGGCAACTGGGAGATTATTGGTTTCAAGTTTCTCCAGGGTGAATTAAAAAGTAAGGGGTATGAGAGAGATCAAAGCCTCCCGTTGGAGTTCTGAAGAACCATTAAGAAAATTAAGGCCGTATTTAATGGTCTTTAATTTACAAGACTATGGATTTAAATTGTTCATTGATTTCTTTTTCCTAATTATAAAATGATGGTATGTTTTCAGACTCAAAGGAAACTTTATATTCGTGGACTTGATATAGTTCCTCAATATACTTTCAAATTTAACTGACTAAAGCATAAGAGGAAAGACAGGAACAGCGAGCACTGTGCTTGCTTCATGACCACTCTGCTTACCTCACCCCTCACCAGTAGCCTCAAGAGCTGAGTAGACAATGCTAAAATCTTCACATGAGCGCTAAAATGAGGGTTGAGGAGGAATCTCTTTCTATTTCACAGCTAACTGCTGTTCCTGCACCTGTGATGGCTTATTAGCATGACTTCGTAGTGTGCAGTTTGGAAATCCCCAGAACAATCCCAGGTCACTCTCTGTAAGAGTTCCTGTAGCACCAAGACGAAATGAAGCGTGGCATTTTCCTCGTGGGCAGAAAGTTTTGCACAATCTACATCTCTCTTTAAACTCTGAACATTGGGAGAAGAGCTACATTTGTTTTCACATCCCTCACCCCAACCACTGTACAGCCCAGAAAGTTATCGCCTGCTCCCACAAATTAACCATTTGCAAAGTAGGTCATTTGGTCAGCAAACATTTCCCAGCCAGGTCCTACGATCACACAATGTTCTCCATCCCTCTGTGTAGCCCACTGTTCCCAAAGACTTCACATTCAAGTAATACAAGGAGATCCAATGGTTCATTAAATCGGTTAAAAATGAAGATCCTTCCAGGCTTTTCATTCATCCTATGTTTGAAGACATTCTGGAGATCACTACAATAAATTGGTTTTCCCCTTAAAATTCTAGTTCCTGTCACTTAATTCCCATATGTGTAACAGAGCATCCATCTGGGTCCCACAACCACAGTCTTCTACGCCAGACTCCTCACGGTCAGTGTAGACAGACCAGCCACCTTGAACCCAAAGTCATCCTCACTCTCTCACTCATCACCCTTCATTTATTGGTGTGATAGGAGGCTGTCCTCTCTTCCCACCTCGAAGCAGGCATAAGTCGTTTCCTCCCACACAAAAGCTTTCCAGTGGTAACACCGCCTCCTCTCACATTAGCACCACGCTCAGCTCTGGCCCTATTGAATGGCAATCTGCTTACGAACCTGAACAAGTTGCTAAAGTTCACTGAATGCCCTGACAAAGAAAACTGGAGTCAAAGTTCACCTTACTTGGTTCTTTGGAGGCTTTAACACAATAGAATATTAAGCATGTCTGACTCAAGACAAACCCAAATATCAGTTTCTCTTCAACTCCTCTTTCTACAGTTTAATTCTCTCTTCCCCATCACTGATGTGTGAATCCACTGCTTCTGGATACAATCACTGCAGTACTCCAACCTCAACAAATGCATTGCCTCTAAAGGTCAGGCTCTCCTCCACAAACCACTTCTAAACAGATACATTCTTGAATGTAAAAATATATGCAAAACACTGCAGATTTTGCCCAAAAGAGATAGATAGATAGATAGATAGATAGATAGATAGATAGATAGACAGACAGATAGATAGATAGACAGATATACAGACAGAATCATCTATCCATATATATATACATATAGATAAATATCCATATAGAGAGATTCATCTATCTATTCATATACATACATATATATGGATACATGTATATGTATTACAGATAGATACATATCCATATATATGTATATATAGATGATTA